CCCGCGCGTATTTGCTCGGATTGCTCGATTTACGCCGCATAAGATTTACGTCCCGTAGAAATGAGGGTAGAAAATATTTATATAGTTAAGTGACAAGAAAATGATATTTTTACCTAAATATATCGGTATTTTATGTATTATAAAATACCTCTCATAATTGCACGTTTTCGAGAAATTTTCCCAGTACTTTCCATGAAAAAAGGAAGAAAAGTACGTAATATTAATGCATATTATACACGTAGTTACTTCATAATACAATGTACATATAACATAATATTATATAATTAGATTTTTTATAGATTAGCAGAATAGCAGATTTTGTATAGATTAGCAGAAGTATCTAATTGCATAAAATATAAAATATACAGAATAGAATATCTATTTTTTATGACTTAGATTATTTTTATTGTCCAGTTCTCAAAAATACCTTGAAAATAATTTTATAGCTTTGCACTTTGGAAATATTACATTTTCTTACATTTCTTGAATATTTAATAAAACGGAATAAAAAAAGCAACAATATAATAATTTTTCTCATTGCTTATTCAAACTTTAAAATAGCAATATTTTTGTTGATTAAAGTAATAAAAAAATACAGTGTTTTAAATTCAATGTAATTATCTATTGCACAGTGCTTTTATATTTTTTCTCAAAATAAATTTTTTATAAATAATTTAATTTAATTTTTTTTAAATGTAAATGCGATTAAATCTCATTAAAATTGTAATTAAAATTTAAAATGTTAGCGACATTAATGTCTCTTAAAACGATGCATGCTGTGAAAACTTTATTATACATACATATCACAGTTTCCCTCAAACCTAGGAAAATTTGTTTAAAACATTTCTCAATAACTGCAATAAATACACAATAAGGATAATCTAGGTCATAAAACTGCGTACTCCATCCTGTATGTTTCAAAATATATAAGCATGCATATAAAAATATATTCCCATATATGCTCACAAACATACCTAAAAATATACAAATATAAAAATTAATCATATTTATTATCAAATTGTAAATGAAATTTATAACTCGACGAAAAATATTCCAATGCACAGAGTATTATCATTATTATTCGTAATATCAATATACTTTACACATATGCAATTAGCGGAGGATTAATTTTACCATCTTGCTAATAAATGGATACTTCGTGTCCAGTTTCCAAATGTAATAACAGCCACAAATTTGCTCTAATGTATTAGAAATTAAACATTTTTCAATTATCATGTATACCACAGTACAACGTTACTCGTAAATACTCATGTTGACTTTTAATTAACGCACATGGCAAGGAAGACAAATTTACTACATAATGCATCGCTATAACTGGAAATTGAAAACTAGCGAAAAGTAAAAAAAAAAAATAGGAACGAGAGTTATAATAGACTCAAGGAATCAGAAATCGGAAGAGAAATTCTCGTGAATATTCGTGTGAGAATTGTTGACAGTGATCAGTTAATAACACCCGAGGATTTGTTAGCGCAGCAATTACACGTCACGAGGTAACCGCAGTGCGCCTGGAGGTGCGCCAGAAACGCGAACGATGACAACTTCCGGTCCATATGGCATCTCCACGGGATATTCGAAGTCTTTCATATCCGTCAAGGCGTTCGCGCGTTTAATCCGCGAGATTAATTACATGCATTTATATTCGCATGTAAATGACGTTTCGAAATCTTCAAAAATATCACATGTATTATTAACATCGCGGTACAATCAAATGAGCACGTAAATTCTCACTGCCATCGAGATAATAAAATTGTAATGGGATCTTTCAATTCTTCAATTCCGATTTTAATTAATCGTCAACCGAGACCGACGATAAAATAAATCGAAAAATGTGCAATGGAATGAACGGCGGGCACAATGTGCCAGACGTATTAAATTCTTCATAGCGACGCGATGTGAATGGTAGGAAAAGCCTTCATGTATGCGCGCACACGTCGTTGAAGAGGGTGGTAAGCGTCGCCCCGGGTCGAACTCTCCCTCTCGTCACGGGCAATCGTGACATGTTATTGGAGTTGTAAAATTCCGGACTTTATTTCAAAGTTTTTCACATTTTCATCCGCTGATAATTGTAAAAATTCAACAAAACGTCGCTCCTAATGATCATAAAATTTACGCAGTTAATGACATCGCTGCCAAGAAGTAAATAATGTTAAAGGCGAAAATTTGATTATGATCCGGTTGAATGTGAAAATAATGAAATCCCACACAATTGATCATGACAAATAAATTGAATTTAAATTTCTGCATTTTTAATTATATATAAGAAGAATATTTTAATAATATAAAAAGAGAATTTTTATATTAGTCTATCATCGTTATCGGTTATCATTATATCTACAAAAAAAAGAACAAGTATTAAATTAATATCCGTGCTGTTAGTGATTCTTAATGGCAAACACGTGAAAATCGTTGAAAATTTCAAAGAAACTATATCCTCCACCACACATTGTCCTCGCAGAGCGGTGCATGAATATTATGGCAGTTTGCTAGCATGCCTGCATGTGGTAGTTTCGTCGCAGATATCTGTTTTAGATGTATATATATGTATACGTATATGTAGTTACTATACACACACGGTCCCCACACCTTATCTCGTTCGCGTGTACACACGAATTATACTCGCGTCGCGAAACTCCTGTCCTGTGATCGACCCCAACGTTGACAGGAATCTCAATGCTCACGAGGCGTGCGAGTCACGCATATGTTTTCACGTAGAAGATTTCAAGTCATAATCGCGCCCAGTATCGTAATTATTAACCATTACACCGCCATCCTAACTATACACTATTGTAGCAGCGCTCGTATCTAGATTTTTAATGCACCTAGGCAGTATAAGATCAATTGGGAAAATTGTATATCATAGTAGAGTGAGCACGTCATTGCAGGTCCTTTTGATTGATATCGAAAAGAGTTATTAGAAAATTATCACATAGTAATATTAGCATGTGAATATTTATCACGGTCTCATTAAAAAATAATAACTATTAATTTTCATCGTTAACAAAACAATATCATGTATGTAATCGGATTCAAGCAAAATATTGTAATATTTAATAATAATGGAAAAAATTTTTTGCCAAGACTTTACAGCAAAAAATCTCGTTTAACGTTCTTCGCATTATTTACACTTGACAGAAAATCTCTCCTAAAGTCGCGAGACAATTATAATTTAATGATACTTTAATTTTGTCGTAGTTTAGCTGAGTAATGCAATAAGACAACGAAACCTTGCGGACATCAAATAAGTTTGAGATATATTCCCTTCGGGGCTTCTTGCTGCAATAGCAGAATGATTAAGGAACTTCCACATAGGATAATAAATCTGCTCGTCTATTTCACTCGAACGCACACAAGCTCTCCTCGGCTTAGTACTCAAACTTCCCAGTACGAATAAACCTTTCGGCGAAATTGGCAGTGAAAGACTCGTGACATTGCCGGCGAGTATATATCATAACGTATTACTTGCACGGCAAAATGGTAGTGCGCTGTGGAATTATTATAAAAGGCCTTCAGCTACACACGAAAGAGGTTTCTCGGTACGGAAGTGCCTCTTATTATATTCTGACATTATTCAGCCTTTTAATATTATATTGTGTAAAGTTTCTATAATAGCATAATACCATAAAGTTCTATCGCAATTTTATCACAGATTAACTGCGGATCGTTGCAACAATTTCCAACTTGAATTAGTTTAATCATTTATTAAATACGCGACTGTAGATAATGACTGTAGATATACGTTATTCGGGATTATTTATAAATTTTTCCGTCACATACATACGCTGTTGCGTATCGATTTTTCATCACCGACGCATTCGCAAATTACCAGCGAGCTTAATAGATATTTATGGGACTTTAATAGATATTTTTGTAGGACTTCGATATTTGATACGATACCGCGCGAATTCAGTAATGAAACCACCCGTGGTCGTCAATCACGTTTAGCCCAAGTCGGTCTCGCTCAAGCTGCTCTACACTACGCTCAGACTCGCTCTGTCGTGCCACGATAAACGCTCTTGCGAGTGTGAGATCCAATGATGGAGCGCTCTACAGAGCTCTTGAAGTTGCCATCGCAACTTTGGACTTTATAGCCGCGCCGCGCCGAATTAGCCTCACTTTGTTTCACAGCATGGGGTCAAGTAGAAACGCCGTAGGAGGTCTGGATGGAAGGTCACGTGAGCGTTAAGTGGTCGATTTCACGATGTTACGATAACCGCGACGAGCCGCTTCGATAAGCGTTCGAAGGTGCCTGTCGACGTTCCCGAACGTGTTTCCTCTCCCGCAACTATCCGCACGCGTATCTCTTCCGATCGACACGTCACGTTCGGAACGATCGTTGCGTCGCGATCGCGTAGCCGCGTTATACTCTCTCCGATCGTTATTTATCTCGCACCACCTATGCACAATCCCGCGCGATCGCGTGAACCTTTCGTTCTTTCGCGCAAGAACGTGAACGCTTTTTCAATCTCTTGAGATTTTCCGCGGTCAGACACATGGGAAGAACGAGGACTAACGTAGCATTTCAAATTCATCTTTGTACGCTCCGTGGAAGAAGATCTGCGAATCTTGAAAATAATTTCCAACTATTAATTCACAATGCCGTTCGTTGGAATTGAATTTGACTAACAAGAAGAACGCGCTTCACGAGTTTTATCGCTATTTCTGTAATACTTTCAAATGATGTAAATTTATCTTACAATGTTACTGTATTAATAATTTTTGCGCTTTACATTTCATTGTATTCTCGAATTGTTAAATTTGTTTATAATTTTCATCTTGATTTATTGCTCGAGTACAATTCGTCTTAAAAATATATGTTTGAGTAGCGATAAGAATAGCGATAACTCGACAAATTCCCTGCCACTTTTGTCGATTCTAGAATGATAACTGAAAACGCGGTACGAGAAACACGGAAAAGCTTACGTAAATCCTCGTATTTCTCTAGTGCGTTTGTGAACACAAACGACTTCCAGTCTAATAAGTCACCTGTGTCGTACCAGGACTTCACGTTGGATTTTTACTTCCGACAATTCTGGACGGATCCGCGACTCGCATTTAAGAAGCGACAGGGCGTCGAGACGCTCAGCGTCGGCTCGGAATTCATCAAGAACATTTGGGTGCCCGACACCTTCTTCGTCAACGAGAAGCAGTCGTACTTTCACATCGCTACCACCAGCAACGAGTTCATTCGCATTCATCACTCGGGAAGCATCACGCGTAGTATACGGTGAGTAGAGTACTTCACAATTGTATATGAATATTAATTCAGATCATACTACGGAAAAAGAGCGGACGATGGAATAACAGATTGGAATTAAAAGACCCCTTTCTCCGCATCGAGGAAGTTGAGCAGATTTAATCCCGAACTGCCACCCTTTCACCGTCCGTGTACGGTCACGGTATTTTCTGCCGCGCGACTATAAATCGAGCCCATTGTTCTTCATCATGGAACATTCGTGGCACTTCTGGGACCAATTGTACCCAGCACGACAAATTTGTTCCCTGTAGCGGCCGCTCACCCTCCGCTCCCCCCCCCTTTCTTATTCGACACAGCTCGTATCATTCCGCGTATCTATCCCTCCCCCGTTCGTGCGCCCAGAGTGTTCTGGTATTAACGCGCCGGCTATATTCAGACGATCCATGCATACCTAACTTGCGCGCTCCCTCGCAATATCGTTCCATTATATTACATCCCCGACTTCCGGATCGGAACTGCCGAATCGAGCCGCTCGCTGTCGGTAACGGGAGAAGAATATCGATGAAGCGGCGCGCTCGTTTGCGTGAATAAATTCTTCCCTGCTTCCGCGCGAGTCATCGATCACTGTCGTTTGCACGTACGAATCATACTACGAATACGTACTATGTCTGTACCATTTCGCGGTACGTCTCGTCGGAAAGGCGAAAATAGACACGTACTAACGATATGGCACGATCAAATCGATGCGAATTGGTTCTTGCACGTTAATTCCGACGTGACTCAAGCGTAATGAGGTCGACCGCGAATTAATTCGCACATATTGATTCAACACGTTACTCGGGCATAAATGAGCTAGCTGTAAATCCCCCACCTTCGTATTCGCACGTACCGTAAAACACGTCGCCGAGAAGTGATTGTTAAACGGACTTTACTTGAATGTGTTTCAGCTTAACGATTACAGCGTCGTGTCCTATGAACTTACAGTATTTCCCGATGGACCGGCAACTCTGCCATATCGAGATCGAGAGCTGTAAGTACGCAACACGCGCGTGTACATATATATATACATGTCTATACATCTATTTATATATATACATTTTATGAGTGCATACAAACAAAATATGATTTCGCAGAGTTCAACATCCTCGCCTATGTTACTTCTCTACTCGACATACTAACACATACATTACTTGCGCATACTATAATGGAAGTCAAAGAGACATTCCCATGCACTTCGACGATATTACTTCTCAGAATGACAATCGACTCGCCGTATCTTTCTGGCGTCAATCATCGACGTGTGCACGTGCTCGGAGTAACTTTAGAGAAGAAAAAAAACATTGTCGCTAAAGATTTTTAACAAGTATAAAGTCAATCAATGTAATGTATAACGTGCGACAGTCGTACTATTGACAGATCTAATATTTCTAGACGATAAAATAATTGTTAACTCGCAAAATCGTAAAAAGGAATAACAATTATTCATCTGATAGAAATAAAATTGAGATCTTTGAGAGTCGACGACCATCAATTGCGTCTCGGAAAAAATTTCGCGCTGTTACATTTACCGTAACGTCGCGATTATCACCCAGATTTTTGTAAAAGCACGAACGATCAATTCCAGCATGTGAACTCGTGCATGTAATTCGAGGATAACGCCGAAAGCGATACGCAGAAAGAATCCTTATCGATAGTCGATTGTCGCTGATTCAATGCGATTCAACTGTACATCGCTTTGAACCCTTTTTTTCAGATAAAGACGCTTCTACCGTGTATATTTGCGTCGGGCATAAAAAAAGAACTTCGTGTCCCCTTCTATTACACGCTCACACAGAGAATACTGTCAACTTTTATAACCCGTCACTCTCCCCTTTTCCTTTTTCCCTCCCTCCCTCCCGTCCCCCTCAGCCGCCAACGATTTCTGCTCCTCTCCTTTCGCCCTTTTCCCGACATTCAGATTTTACTTCTCTCTTTCTTCTCTATCTTCCCCTCTCTATCTGTCTATCTGTCTGTCTGTCTGTCCGTCACTCGCCACTTCACACGCTCACTCACACAGTCAGAGTCAGCCACACAGTGAGAATCACTCCCATTCACCTCGTTCACTCACTCGCTCACTCACCCGCTCTCGCTCACACACTGGTTGGTTTTCTTTTTTTTTTATTCCATACACGGTGGTTGTGCGTATGTAACAACATGGACTTGCAAAGTCGGGCATTTATTGTAGCCATTGTTTTTTTTCTAATTTTTTCTCTCGCGAAGCAGAAATCGATGGACTAAAAGAAGTGCACTTTGAAATTTCAAGTATCAATGCAATCGGGATCCGACAAATTTGCTCTTCCATTGAATCTTGCATTAAACCATAAAAACAAAAAATGATTTTATCATTAACGATATATCTGCAAGTCAGATATAGACGTCTCATTTTTGGACAGTAGTAGATTTGACAATAGAAGCCCGATTCTGCGATTAAGCAGAGTGTGCGATCAGTGAGCACTTTAAGAAGGAGCTTCCGATGCGCCGTGACAACGGCCTCGGTCAGTTGCGCGCACTGTATACGCAAACTGAGCGATCGACGAGATACGTCTCGATTAATCGTGTCGCTCCGTTAAGCTGTTAACCGAGAATAGAAACCGTAGGTTGATCAGGAGCTATAATGGCGCCGTGGGAACATCCCAGTGCGCGGAGAAATACACGCTAAAAGATTACCACATGTGTGTGTGAGTGTGTGCGTATCAATGTGTGTGATAGTGCTAACGTTTCACTGTCACGAGCTCGTGTTGACTGTCGTCACTGCTGCAAATTGCACGGTGTGTGGATATATGCAAAAACGGACGAGAACTTGGGTCGCTTGTTCAGGATCGTTTCGCCATTTACTCGCACATGCGTTCACATCGCGAAATAATAAACGTTATCCACTGGTATCGGCGTTAATAATTCGTAACACACGTAACACGTGTACGCAAATTGCCCGAATAAAACAATATACGCAGTTACTCGAAATCAGCATTATAACCATGATTATGTAATGAATAATTAGAAATGCGACCTCGTGTCGCAAACAGTCGCATTACCCGCGGTAAACCTGCAAAATTACGAAACGCAAGATTCGCGGATGCACGTTTCAACGTATCAATTGAAAAATAATCACGAGTTTTATTTGCCTTTAATCGTTCCAGGCAGAAGCGTTCAACGTAACCGATTTATACAGGATGATGGAAAAAGTTTGGCTTTAACTCCGCCTCTGGCTAAAAGATCTATATTAAAACTCAGTCGGTCGTGGAATAGGGTCGAGGGGTCACCGGAAGTCTGGCGGTATACGAGATATCGCGGAGAGCCGAACAAGTTGGCCGATTAGTTTCGTCGAGTAGAAGACTCGGACTCTCGCGGACGCCCTTTCGTCCTTAATTGGTGGGATTGCTCGAACGCGAGTTATTGCGATCGTTATAAGTTGTCACGATACATTTCCGCCGCGAATTGTGGGGAAAATCACGCAAGTCGCTAAATTTCCGAGACGCGCGATTCGAAAGATTTACCAGCTCCTGTTAACTTCAACTTTAGGTTAACTGAATCTCCGTCGCTTTCTAATTGAAGTTCTAAGAAGGAGTAAACAGTCGGCTAAGCTATCGTTCAAGTTAACCGATATTGGCAAAACCGTTTATTAGTGCGATATCACGTTTTATCTTTCATAAGATGTTAATTTGATAATTTAATAAATTTTTTCCTGGGATTTTTAAAAGCGTTTTGTGATATTTTGAAATTACATGAAATTTCTATTGAAGGTTTTATTTTTTCCACAGAGTGAAAATTATCGGTAAATGCAATTTACCGATAATTTTATATTCATATTTCCTCGTGTGGTTTAGCCCGTGATCGCTTCAAATCTTTCATTTTCATTTAAATCGCAAATTTGATATATGATAGACGTTCCAGCGCGCGAATTCTGCCTGAAACGTATCGCGGCTGATGCGATCTATAAAAGGAAAAGGCGAGCAGGCGCCAAATTTGTAGAACTCTGGAGAGTTTCTTGATTAGTTTCGCCGGATAGAAGTGCCGGATCACGAACGTCGTTTCACTCTTAACTTAGCTATTAAACGCGATATTATTACCTCTTTCTTCATCGATTTTATATCTCTGCGATAAGAAAACGATAAAGAAAACGACGATAATACTATCTCGCGAATATTTTTGCAATTGCCACGGTTTTTCCACGGTCTTACAATTGCGTAAAAAATACATAAAAGTGTTTTTATTTGGATCTTACGCAGAGAAAATAAAATTTTTTATGCGCGAATCGAGATCGCACCGTTTCCCTCTTTTTATGTGTTTCACTGAATTTAATTTATGGGACATATAACCACGCGTGTAGACCATCGCAACCGAAGATGAGAATAGACGTGCAATTTGCAGTAATCTCAAAATGCAGTGAGCTCGATCGCGTATATCGTTATCTATGCTCGTCGACACGAAACGACTGCGACTTTCACGACCAAAAATGACGAGGTCCAAACTGCTTTCCCTTCGCGAGGTAGTTTCAATTATAAAAAATAAAAAAAAAAGCGATACGTATCAGATCCAACGAACCAATACGTTTACAGGACACGCTTTGTTGCATCCTACGCAAAGACCGTATGTGAACGTATTTACGAGCATCTTCCGAAGGGTCTCCACTCTACCAAGCTACCGCTGACCGTGAGTCGTCACGTCGGTCTTAATTGAACGCGTGATTTCTCGATGATCGCGCGGTCATTCGACACAGTGAATGACAACCGTGCGCGTACACATGCCACGGATATAACTAAATATACACGACATATCCTCCTCTACACCGCCGCCGAGCGAAAACTCCTCGCGGATTGCATACGCGCACGCAGCGATCAGTATAATCATCCACCGTTCATCATTGATTGAGCAAGCTGCGTTGAATCGAGCGAGGACTTTTTTCGCGTGCTGGCGATGGCGGATAAAAAACGCTGAGCGCAAGTATCTAGTCCGCGTACGTGACGAACACGTCGATAGAAGAGAGTGGAATCCGTTCTACGAGATCGACGGCGACTTCCCCTGGGAAGAGAGTTCGGGGAGAGATTTACGCAGAACTAGATACACCACACGCACAAAATTGTAAATATAATTTTAAACGAGAGCTCTCGGCGCGCCGCCGCCGCCGCCGCCGCCGCCGCCACCGCCGCCGCCGAAGATCGATCGCTCCTCTCCGAGGATCGAAATCGCGACGAGAGTGCGCTGTTTGAAAAACACTATCACTACTTTGCCACTCACCACCACCACCACTTACCATCACCGCCCATCACTCACCCGAGACCACCCTCTTCCCCGGAACCCCGAAGGGCCTCCGACATATAGCACTGAGCCTCGTGTCCGGGGACGTAATAAGGGCCGACGACGGCCAGCCCCGAAGGAGGCTAAAACCTAGAAACGGCGTGTCGACAATGGTCCGACCGAATTAAAACGCATTGTGCATCTAGCCCAGCGCATGTAAGAACAAAAACGACTGCAACATCTTTCTGCCACGCCACGTGGTCACATTACCGGTATGCCTTGAATCTGCTTGACTTGTGATTCTGATTTTCTTTCTTGCGACTTGTTTCGGTATATACGTCCCTTCCCCTCTCTTCCCCTCAATTTTTCTATGATAGAGCAATAGACGTTTTTATCTAACGTAGTTTTTTGATACGGCATGTGTCGGCATGGATACTTATTTTTAACTTACAACGGTATTCACAAATAATTTATGTGAATTACTTTGTCATTAATCCAAGACGAGATTTATCACGAACGAGAGATGAATAAACGCGTACTTTATCGAGGCAATAATATCAATAAGATAAATTATGTAAACTATTTGTTCACAATAATGATAAAATTTTACTTGCTCCTATTTCGATTTTAATTTCTGCTTGATAATATTGAATGTCTAAAATTTGTAACATCTTGCATTGCGTTTAACGGACGAATCATTTCTCCTTTCGGGAAATCCACGTTGCATAAAGATAAAAAATCCATTGCAGAAACGCAATCCTTCTTTCTTGCACATACGTCAAACGGGTTTGATTAATAGAGTCCCGAGCTGAGAAAAGGCCTCCAGCTGACACTGTTCATTTAACTAAGAATAATGTCGGAATTTTAACGGAAGGGGAGACTCTAAAGCCCGGAATGGAAATTCGCGCGTTCTCGCGGCACACGGAGCATGGCGCATAGAGAATGGAGCATGGAGCATGCAGCACGGGAGGTGAAATGCACAGCATAAAGCATGTAGCACATATATGTAAATCTACCTAATACCCCGAGCTTGCGTGTACCACTATAGCATGCAGAGCACAGAACTTTTTTCTCTCTCTCTCTCTCTTTCTCTCTGTCTGTCTCTGTGTTTCTCGATATCTACTTATACACTCTCCACTTTTCGTCTTAAACCTAAACTTGCTGTCACTATCATAGTCCTTGGTATTTTGCTAATGTTGCCGCAGTCCTCCTTCCTGCAGTATTCAACAGCCATCGCTATACGACCCCCGCCCCCCTTTTCCTCCCGTTCCTCCCCCCCCTGACCCCTTTGCCCCTTGTAATGCTTAATGTTGCCCCCAGTGCAGAACCTCTTTATTAAAACTTTATAAAAGTACCAATTTATATATTTATATATATATATATGTCTACGCTGCACTTAACTATGCGACGACCATCGGCAGAAATAACGAACGAACGGACGCGTGTGATGTTTTTGCTAATATTTTCTCGAGGCGTGGTCATCATTGCCGGTGAATACGATATCCTTGTTTTGTAATTTTTGTTCAAGCGCGAGGTATCTCATCTCCAAGCGTAATGAGCGTAACAGAAAGAAACATAATTAAAAGAGAGAAAATGCAAAATGCAAAATATACCAGATATTATACAAAATTATATAAAATATTATGAAACATTTTACAACATTTGTGCAACAAATGTTAATGAGACTACATTTTTCGCGTGTGAGGTGCGAATAAAAGCTGTTATTTCCATAGCTCACCGCAGTGTCGAACACGCCTGTTGCGAATCGTAATGTCATTACCGGAGATTGCGGTTTTGCGCGACGCCGCATGTAGCTGCATCCGCGCGGAATCGCGGCGTATTACCGAATGAGATAAAACCTGGCGGCATTCAAAATCGGATTCCAAAAACAAAAGCAATTAATCTGGCATTACTCGGAGGCGTACCGCTTAATCCACGTTTGGCCGATGCTCGCGCAATGTGGCCGCCACCGCGACGGAATGCCACTTTGGTGCCTGGAATGCGGTGTAACGATCGTAATCACCTAAGATTCAGTTACGGAGGAATGTTTCTCAATGCGGTATGTACGCGCTGGAGGCCGCGCGGAGGAATTAGCAGGCGTTAATAGGCGCGAATTATGATCGATGGCCGGGAAAAGCCGAGCTCCCGATGCATCCGTCGAGAGGAACGAACCGCCAATGCGCGTACGTCGCGTTAAAATCTTAACTTTCTACCGCAAAGGAAGACACCGTTCACCGGCATCTCTTTCCGCGTGGTCTCGGGCGTCGGTATCGCAAATTCGGTTTGGAAAACGTCATAGACGCATCGAAGGGCATTACTTTGTGAGTAGAAAAGATACGCGCGACTGCAAGAAAGAAAGAAAGAGATTTCAATATTCTTTATATAAGCACAAAGACGCGGAGTATCAAAAGCCGAAATTCATGCAGAATGAGATTGTTCTACTTCCACTATAAACCTAAAGCTTTGACATAAAATCTTTTTACACGAAAATAAAACTTAGGATTCGCAGCGCCTCCCTTTTACGTCCAACATATTACATTCGTGTAAAAATTTCAAAGTATCCTTTTTCAGACCCCGGTAAAATATGAACGACTGTATCGGCTGAAACAATAATGCCTAACTCGATGACGTCTGTGATACTGCGGCACGGAGGGCATCCTAAATCGATTCCGCGCGAGAACAAATTTATGCTACTTCCCGGCAGAATTGGAACGTGACGCAACAACCGGGAACCGGTTTAGGTTGCTCGCGATAACTTTGCTTCTAATTACTGTGCTCCCCGAGGTACCCGCCCTCCCGTCCCGTACCGAACACTACCTGAGTGTCTAATTACTGTATGTTAGAGCGAAGATATTTGTGTTCTTGTTCTCCCGGCAGTTGGATACACAATGCGCGATATTCGGTACAAATGGAACTCCGGCCTACAGTCGGTCGGCATCTCGAACGAGGTGGAACTACCGCAGTTTCGCGTGCTCGGTCACAGGCAACGACAGACAACCATACACCTATCTACAGGTAGATATCCCCCTCTTATTCGTGCTTCCTTCTAAACTTGGTCCAGAAGCTCGCGTGAGTGATATAAGTATATATGTATATAAATGATTCGTTGTCGCATAAGATCGCGACGATCGGAGATGACGAAGACATATTCGTCTCGGAATTATGTGTGAATGTGCACTGTACTCACGCGCGAGCTCACGATTTATCCGGTTCTCGATACATATTATATATATATATATATATATATATATATATATATATATATAATGTGAATCCTGTTTTTACCCGCACCGTTACGCACCGATCACCTGTGTGTATCTCTTCGCGAACACGTTTAATTGTGTAAGAACGAGTTTACACCGGAACAGCGTAGTCCTGCGGCCATTCATTTCGACCGATCGACTGATCGACTTTTTTGTCTACATTACAAAAGACGCAGACGGTGATTAAGTCACACACATCCATCGTCCCTAAACTTGATTTCCTCGTCATAGTCGCGGGTGGACGGTATGCTATTTTCATTCTTGCCGCTCGTCGTTACATCGGTACGAATCTGCAGAAAATGAAACGTTACGCTCCGCAGCGCTTGAAATGTAGATCCCACCTCGATCCGTGGACAGAATAATACGCGTTCTCGTATCTCAACAACAACAAACGCGCGCCCATGCTTACCCGAGTAAGTCGCTAATGGATTTGAGGAATAGTATTACGTCCACCCGCGGCCCAACATCCACCATCCACAACATCAAAACAATAATTCGACACGACGGACTCGTAAATACGGATGATACGCGCCTTATGCTTCTCGAGCGTGAGCCAATAATCGAGAAGATCGCCCACACACGATGAGATCTCTCTCGTCACACGCCAGATATTCCGCCCACACACGCTCTTTCAAAGTTAGCTTAATCTGGGCTCTCGATAGCTCTGGTCGCGAGGGCACCTCTCGCTGAGAAGGACAGAGAGTGAGATAAACTGAGAGGGAGACAGATAGATAAAAAGAAAGAAAGGAAGGAGGGAGACAGTAAGAAATTGTGAAGAATGAAGGAAGGGAAGAAGTAGAAGAGAGCGGAACTCGTGAGGTTTGACGGGGGTGCGAGGTAAGTGGAGGCCCCCTCGGAGCTGAAATGCCTTTGAGGGCTTCCGCGAAGGTACGTACCAACCGCGGGGGGTCTCTCTATTTTTTCAGTCGGATACACGATGAGGGACATCCGGTACAAGTGGAACGAAGGCCCGAACAGCGTCGGGGTCAGCAACGAGGTCTCGCTGCCTCAGTTCAAGGTCCTCGGCCACCGTCAGCGAGCCATGGAGATTAGTCTTACCACCGGTAACGTATAAACACACAACCCCCCCCTCACCCCACCCCCACCCCCACCACCCACCTTCAACAAATAATTGTTCAACCCTCGCTTTTAACGGCATGGGTAAGGTGGAGAGACACGTGAGCGCTATCCGATGTCCGCAGGCGCAATTGTCGCTCGTGAGAGAACCGTCGTAATCCTGTGTTACCTTACTTTACGTGAAGCCGTCGATCGATCGATCGATCTCTCTCTTTCTCGCAATCTCACGCGTCGTGTGGTCTCGTCTCGTACGGCGGAACTGGCTGGCATTTACAACGGATCGCCGGCGCCTCGGACGTTTCTCGCAAACTTGCGAAAACTTTCCTTGAGAAATCATCTCGAGCTACAATCTTTTTGCTTCCGAATGAAACTTTTCGGTGAGCGCAATTGTCTTCTCATATTAACGTCACGGCGTTTTATCTCGTCAATTCCTGCGCCAGTTTCACACAGAGCTCTCGCCGGGTGTTATAATCCGATGAGTAGCATACACTTCGGTCGAGAACGATTTCAGTCACGAACGATCGCCTCTCAGCCTTATCATCATCCTTCGATACTTTTCGTACCACCCATTGATTACGCCGCGACGAGCGGCGGGGCTGGATGATGCGCAATCACGGCTAACGACACAGGGAGGCAAGCTAATGTCTTTCTTCACGCCGCACCTTCTCCGATAGTGGCGCGCAAGGGATAAATTGCCGCCAATTCGCCAAAACGGAAAAGAGCGACCGCAGAGTGGCGAATTGCGGTGCAGCTCGATTTTCCATCCAGTCGATTTCTCATTTTTCTCCTTCCGCATCTCGAGTATCTCGAGAAACGGCGCACGATACACGCCGTCGGCACACTTCACATACCAATGTGCATGCACGCACATCCACACCGCAGACATACGTACACAACAATGAGTACACAAAGAGTCGCGCATCGACGATGCGAATTTCACTTAACATCCAGCCAGCTCTGGCGCGCCGTATTTCCGGTCGGCGCAAGAAATAGAGAGAGCTACTCGCGAACAATGAAACCGCTTTTCCTGGCAAAGACCAGTGACAGAATGTGCAATCGGGCAAGAGGGCTGAAGGGAGATCGAAGGAAGAAGAGCACAGAAACAAACACAGGAAGAGGAAGACAGAGAGAGAGAGAGAGAGAGAGAGAGAGAGAGAGAAGAAAAGAGAAATAGAGAGATAGAGAGATAGAAAGATAGAGAGATGAGAGAGAAAGAGAGAGAGATAAACGAGATACGTGGGAGAAGAGAAAGCGAGAAAGAGAGAGAGATAAACGAACAGTGAGGAGGAAGGACAGTGAGCACGGGAGATAAAGAGACATTAAATAGCGCCTCTCCGTCTCCCTGTCCTGACCTTCGATCTTTTAATCGCAGGGAATTACTCGCGGCTGGCCTGCGAGATCCAGTTCGTACGGTCGATGGGCTACTACCTGATCCAGATCTACATACCCTCAGGGCTGATTGTCATAATATCGTGGGTGAGCTTTTGGCTAAACCGAAACGCGACCCCCGCTCGGGTGGCCCTCGGAGTAACCACTGTGCTCACTATGACGACCCTAATGTCCTCGACGAACGCGGCGCTACCAAAGATCTCCTACGTCAAGTCCATCGACGTCTATCTGGGCACCTGCTTCGTCATGGTCTTTGCCTCGTTGCTCGGTGAGTGCGATCGTGTACTCTTCCGTGCCTTCACGTCGCTGCCATTAAGCTTTCCATCCTGCGTCCTCTCATATACTCCGTATAGCTCGGAGCCGTGCCGTTCCAGTAGCGAGCTCGTAGAGTATCGTAGACGGATACTTGTGCAGGGCTCACGTGACAAATGCAAGGGACCCATTTTCCTCGAAATCGCCATTTGTCGCCGACGGGCGAGTGAGTGCCCGTCGTCCGAGCCATCGTTTGGAAATGGCGTTTTTCACGAAATTTTCACGTTTTCACCGCGACCTAGAGATCGCGAAGCGATGAAAAATCCGGAGTGAGAGTCCCGACGAGATTGTTCGATCGATTAGTCGACACGGCCCGACGACATATATATGTTTATATATATATGTATATGTATACACACACACACAATGTTGCGTTCTCACAACCGCGATCGCGAGTACCTCATTACGTACGACACCAAGGTACTTCGCCGTCGCGGTGTTCTGCATGGCGGGATTTCCAGGGAAATGGCTTTCTTTCATCTGCACGTGAGCTCTACACAAGTACCGGGAGCGCAAGCATGAGTGAGATTCTCGACGGATGGAAGTGGGACCCGTGTACCGGGCTTACCGCCCGGGTCTTACAGTGGCAGTCGTGTCGCGGCATTGAATGGTTACGTGTTTTCATTCCCGTGGATTCTTCTTCTTCGCAGAGTACGCTACGGTGGGCTACATGGCGAAGAGGATTCAGATGCGGAAGAATCGCTTCCAAAAGATAGCCGAGAGCATGAAGGCGGCGAGCGAGAATCCAGGACCGCCGCGCGTGCCCGGCGATCACGGCGATCACGCGCCTAAGCAAACTGTGAGTAACGTCGGCTAGATCGCCGTCGTCTCCGAGTTTTTCTTTCTTCACGCAGATTATTGTATTGTCATCGCGTATAACCAGGAGATGCTGACGTACTACATTTTTCCTGGACGATTTTACACGCTTTTGTTTTTCAGCGCGTAGACGATCGGCTCTGCGATGACACAATCAGACGCGATCGTGGCACAGTTTCTAGATTTATGCATAATCCATAGCACATATTTCATAATTATAATATTTTAAGGCTCCCGAGAGCCGTCCAACAAATATTATTTGTCCCGCCCATGTCAATAGGATATTTCTACTTTCATCTAAATTTCGAATGATGGATATTGAACAGCGTAGCGATTGCTGCAAAAGTTCAATATCTTCGATAGTCGGCGGCAAATGGATATTAGAGCTAATCAAGCTCTTTTTCTTCATCACGAGAGCAGGCTCAACAGGACGGAGTCGGGCATTATTCTCGATCCGGCTCAACACGAGTGCACGTACCATCGCGCAGTGTAAATATGCATCTCTCCCCAAAAAACTAGAAACGACAAGCTAGACCCATGAAAGGTCAAAAGCTAAAAGGTTCTGGCGAAATGAATTCCCATTCGGCCGTGCAACGCGCCGGACGGCGTGCTTCGTCCGCCACCACGGATATGACGCACTATAAATTTTCTTTTAATCTTGGGTATTGTAGACCGGAAAAAACGAAAAATATTAAAGGGCCGAGGCAAAAACGGGACAGTGTGGGAGGGCAAAAAGAAATAAATGGAGAGGCGACAAGAATGAACGAGATGAAGAACGCTCGTAAAACGTCGGCAGGATAAGACATTTTAATTAATTATTACTACCAAGTTAATTATTCGTGATTCGGCGGAGAATATTCAACGACGATACGTGACTCTCTTAATTACATTCCTAATGATTAAATTATATATCTTTTTCGCGAAACTTAAATTGAATTTATAAATATTAAATAATATTTATAAAATATTAAATATTATAATTATCTTTTTAATTTATATCAAGCTTTTTAAAATGTCTAATTTTACGATAAAACTGTCATAAAAATTATATTTTCTCATAATTATATACATCTCACAATTTAATATCTTAATATTAACTTGAGCTGAAAAACAGTTTCAATAATAATTTTATTCAGCAGTTAAATTAAAATAAACATTTGCTGTCATAATTATAGAAATTTGAAATTACTAATAATAATTCCTCCGCATCATAATCAAACGATATTTCGAATTAATATCACATACACCAGCTTCTAATTGAATTTTCACCAATCTGTTTTGCTTGAGCACGTGCAATCGCACCGCGCGTTTCTAAACCGCGCGTTTTACGAGAGACTTTCCCCATTTTCGCATTTCTCCCGTTTAGCACGTAAACTGACAAACCTAAGTCGCGATAGCGACGCAAAAGCAGGTGAGTCTCTCGAGTACCGATCGAAAAGCGAATCCGATAACATAAAATCGGACGTCACCGCGTTGAACGATAAAATACACACTGCCCAGCCCTCGGTGTCGCATGCCAATCCGACAAAGTAAGGGGTAAACCTCGGAGAGGGACACCCCACGGCGAACTGCCGTGTCTCTTGTAAGTGGTCCCATGTTGTCCAGGAGGTGCGGTTCAAGGTGCACGACCCAAAGGCACACAGCAAAGGTGGGACGCTCGAGAACACCATTAACGGTCGCGCCGATGAGGAAACGGCGAGCGCGCCGCAACATATTATTCATCCTGGCAAGGACATCACCAAGCTCTACGGTATGAGTAGACCATGTACGCACATTTATCACACTATTTTACCCCCCGCCTGGCAAGCTATCAAACAATACTCAGTTCTTAGCTTGGCAGGCTGTCTATTTCAACGAGCTTCTGAACGATAAACGTCACTGTACGGTTTTAACCGTCAGCGAGCTCGGAAGGCCACTGGCGTGGTATCATCGCCGGGTGAAGGGCCTGTGACAAGGCCGTCAACCGTGCAATATGGATATATCGGGCACTTTGAACTTCGCGAAGACCACATGCAATATTCATGGCCGATGATACCACGCGCCTGCGACCGTTGTATTATATATATATACATATATATATATATTTCTCTACGCTTAAAACACCGACCGAAATCGCTTGTCACTGATCATCCTACGAGAAGCTTCTTGCATTGAAAAATTTTTCTACAATTTATTTTCCAAGCATTAACGATTGCGCACACTATTAGACGCTTTTTTGTACTATTCTTGAAAAACGGCACCGCGCGTACTCGGAAGCTCACTGAAATATGCAATTCCCCTCCCTTAATCTCATGCGTCGCACCATTCTAAGACTTCCCGACGTTCCTTAAATAGGCATAACACCGTCGGACATCGACAAATACTCCCGCATCGTGTTCCCGGTGTGCTTCGTCTGCTTCAACCTGATGTACTGGATCATTTATCTCCACATCAGCGACGTGGTCGCGGACGACCTCGTGCTGCTCGAGGAGGCGAAGTAAACGACGACGTCGCAGCGCTCCGAGTCGATGAAAAAAGGAGGGCGGAAGTGCGCGCGGAATCAAGCACTTGCGCGTAAGAACGAGGCGAGGGCCGACACGCGTGGAAAGCGAAAGCGTTTCGAGGAGACTGAGACGAGGCGCGCTCGATGACTACTTCGAGGCGGGCGGAGTAAAAAGCGAACACGGCAACAGAGACAACCGTGTCGATTCGCAGACTGTGGAGAGGATGCGCTCGAAACGTGCGTTTAGGGTCCATCGGCGAGAGGAGAGCGCGGTAACTACTTGGGTCGACGGCTGGAAGTAGTAGCGAACGAGCGCGGAGCGACCACGCGGCCGCCCAAATCCGGAGTAAGACTATTTCGCGATCGCTGGAAAGTAAAAGCGGACGAACGCTCACCAGGCGCCCGCGTTGCTCCGACCTGGCTGACGAAACGCGCGGCGTCACTACTGCCGCGCAATGATTCTCCGGCTAGGAGCATTCGCTCGTCAATCAGAGATCGGGCTTGCGTCGCGGTCTCTCAATTACCGTCGCTCTCCACGAGGCGTCTACATTAAAGAGTCGGTACATGCAGGCGTGTCGCGCAATATATAGAGATATATGTCACGACGCAAGCGAAATGGACAAGCAGGAGCTCAATCTCGAGGGTGAATCCACGAGCATACATACCATAAAACATTGCCAGTCTAGGTATCTCTAGATCTTAAACGAAGAAAATACCTTCGATATAAACACTTGTCAATTTAGCCATCATTATATAGTAACGTTAACTAACGCTATATATATATAAGGACAACACCGAGACTCGTCGGTCTGAAGCGACGATTCAATCGAGAGCGGCTTGAGAACGGAAAAATATAGGATTATCGACGTTCGTCGAGGTCGAGGATGAATCGTCGCTCTGACGTCGTCGGCAGCGCTCGAACGCGGGCGAAGGAAACGATGCGGAAATCGCGCGGTGGCATGTGTGCGGCGCGTGTATGTGCGTGCGAGCGAGAGAGTGCGGGAACGAATGATGGAACGCGAGCGTTTAACATATGCGTGCGAGCACGCGCGCGCGGAACGAAGAAGCGGCGGGCGAGAAGGTTCATATTCCGAACGAAGATAAACGATGTACTATCGGAGACTGGTGCGACTTATTATTTAAGTAAGTACTGTATAAGTATATGTATATTAACATATTAAGCGCGCGTACGCGGCCGCGTTAAGTACGCGCGTGCATTGAATATATTAGACACGTGCGTGCACACGTGCGTACGCAGGACGCGTACAGTCGATGAGCGTTTACGCGCGATCTAAAAACGAGGCTGAGGCAAGAAGGGGAAATGCGGCAGGACGCCCACGACGAGATCAGCTCCGGTTACATGGTAGCGGCTTCCCTTCAGCATCCGCATTTATTTGGATTACGGCCAAGCAAAAAACCAAGCCTCTTTTCGTTCCGTAGCAACTTTTTTACGATTTTTAACAGCGCGACTTTTGTATTTCGATACGTGTGTGACTCTCCGCGTCGCCGCCACGATGAAATCGCCGCGCGACTCTCGTCACTCGTCCCGGGGCGTCTCTGTACGCGTGTACGTGCGTGTGTACGCGGCTCAATCGGGAGTACTCTTAGTTCGTACTACGTACTAGTCGCGAATGTTTACGTAGGGAAGCTCCCTTGAAAAACGTATGACGATTATAGATCGGACGTAAAAGTATTCCAATCGAGTCAAAAATCGAGATAGACAGCGAACCAAGGCAGATTGCAACTTATCCGATATCTATTTTTACCCGAGGATTTCAGCTAAAGGATAATTAATGTATAAATTAATGCAAACATACGTGTTCACGACACGGACGTGTTTTATCGTGATAAGAAATAAAACGGAGAAACGGAGACGTAATGAGAGAAGAAATTATCGCAATTATCTTATCACTACGGAATACCAGAATGTTTTCCACCAAGCGCTTTCTCTCTTCGCGTGCTTTAAATTACATCTTTAAATCGCTTGTATAATAGAGACAATGCGATCCCACTTAGTTTTATTGATTTAAGTCGCGGCTGATCCTATCAGCATCTTTCTCTGGCATCTATGCAAGATGGAAACAGCGGAATACAATCGCTTTTATCTACGTAGACTGCTTTTAGCTTCGAACTTTTCTTATTTCAATGTATCTCGTTACCCGAGCAATGTTTTTGTCAATTTAATTAACGTTGATTGCATGGTGCTCTACTTCCTTCTTTCGAGATACGTCGTTCGCGCACTTTCTGAATTCCTGTTTGCCCACTACAGGCCATCGATCACTTACAAGAAATTTCCGGAACGTATACATACACCCGGAGCTTCTTTCTTTGCGCGTTTTATATATCCCGGCTTTCCCGATAATCGAGCACCTTCTTTTAAGCATAATTCTTCAATATTGGATTGGATATCCTTTGCCCTTTTTATTTAGTTCAGATTATACATTTTGATAATTAAAATTTCAATTAAAATTTCATTAAAGTAAACTCAACACAAAATTAATTAAAAAATAATAACTTAATATATCTATATTTTTTTCGCAAAACTTACTTTGCAAAAAATTTTAATTCGCTAAAAAATTTCATTTGCAAAATTCGTTGATCTTGAAATTTGATTCCGGAACAAGATTGAACAAGGCTTTTCTTGTTTGATTTTCAATATTTGTGACTTAAGGAAAGCGCCAAAAATTTCTAGAACATTCTGTGTGTACATACACATGCGCGGTCTTTTTTTGCTGCGCTTCTCTCTCGCCCTTCGGACGTAGCGGCTGACTGCAAGCTGGGCCGTGGAAGCTTGCCATTCAGGATATCGACCAGCTGACACGCCCAACCCACCCTCCGACTCTCCCGCTCCCGTTCCCCTCCGCCCTTGCTCCTCGGTACTCTCTCTCTCTTTCTCTCTGCGCTCTGTCACGCGCTCTTACTCTTCATCTCCCCATTCTCTTTCTCCATCCTACTTCGCAATCGCCAAATAGTCTGTTTACCAGACGCTCCTGTCAGACGCGCATTTAATAAGGAGCTGCTTGCCTTAGTACTCCGCAAAAATTCTTTATGAAAATAGGTAATCCTTAGTCGGGGATTCTGCCTTGGACCACTATCCATCTCAGATATCCGAGAGAAGCGAAAGAGGGATGATCGTATCCGAGCGTCACGTTTTACCAATGTGAAAACGCGAGACCGTGCGATTTTTATTAGATGACGTCAGTCATCCTTATCGACTCCATCGTCAGAGGAGATTACAAGCAATTTCAAGATATCGGCGACTACGTGATGTATGCCACATTCGTTAGGATATGCCATACCTCAGTTTAACCGATAACGTTCTTTTTTTTTTGTCGAATAAATAAATATATTCAAAGTTTGAAAAAATTGGAAGGGAAAAAGTATAAAAATATTTTGTTGAATTGTTAAATTGTCAAAACCGTGCAGTGTGGAAAACGCCAGTTTGCATCAACGAATTCTTTGAACAATATACAAGCGCGATTGAACACAATTCTTCAAACTATTTATCAAAAATAAATATTCAGAGACGTCTAACAGATTAATAGATCTTTTCGACATATTTAATAACGTTTTAGATGTTTTTTTGAATAACTGTCGATATCGTCTTGTCAATATCGGCAAATCTGATTTTGAAGCGATTAACTCTAAATCGTAAATAAGAACCAGCTCTCGAAATTCTCAAGTATCTACGTCAATTTTGTATTCCCGCAACGTGCAGCATATTTTAAAGCTATAAATTAAAGCCGATATAGTCAATCCAATCGCGTTTTTATCGCCGCAAATAAATATAACGATGATTTTGGCGTCGAAATTTTAACTCATCGAAATTATACCGAGTTTGCCAATCGCTACTACGGAATTCTCTTTATCGCAGAGATGATCGCTCCAACTTTCTCCATTTGTCCAAATATTGATGCGATTACGTGACGGTCAGCAAACATACCGCGTTATTCACGAGGCTCAGCCGCGACGATTCTCCATTCGCGCGGACACAGTCGACCACGGTGTTTCGTTCGCGCGGCAATTCGGCGACTTGTTTCGCTCTCGCGTTTTCCGCGACCACTCGACATCCGATTCTCAATCGTGGTCACGCGACAATGCAAATAACGGCGGCGCGAGCTGTCGTGCACGAAAAGGCGCAAATCGCGTGCTCAGCCCTCGTTCGTTTCTTTCCTCGGCTGTGCTCGTACATAATATATAAGTATCGATACACTTCCACGTCCGCCCCAACCGGAAGCATTATGTGCAATTTATATAACTGTACATCCGTTATCTATTCGGAGTCTCTATAATAGCGGGGGAGGGAGGGCAAAGAGAAAGAAAGAGGATTTAACTCGTTTTATCGTTGTGATATATTCTATGGTAGCTATACGCATTTATTCGCGCGTATATGATGATGTATATGCGTGCCTATTGTTTACGCTGGATCTTTAAACCGGACGAGTGGGAATTGGCGCGTCCATGATTGAAGACGATGAAAAATTCTTCCCTACGTAGATACGCATATAGCTAGGTACGAAGCAAAACGCACTAACTAAATAATATAATAATTAATCAACTATACGAATAATATAATAATTAATATAATAAAAAAAAAGTCTCATGTTCCTTTCGGATGCGCGATTAAAGCAGCTCATTCATAAACGTAATGACATCGATTACGAACAATAATTTTACATTTCATAATGATCCATCAGTCACGCGATGATTTCTCAAAAACGTATGACGTGCAATCTACTGCAATGCTTTGAAAATATTCTTTATTTATTTAATTTGTTTACGATAAATTAATTATTCACAATGCACAAAAATTTTTAGTATATAAAATATTTGTAACATTATTTGACTCTTCTAGCTTGGAAAAATCGATTTGGCTTTAAAAAATTTAATAGTGGAAAACTCAAAACCAATAGCATTTATCTACGATAATTCAATCGCAATTTCTCGTGTCGTTAAAAAAACGTGTGTAAATCGACACATCACATACAAACACGTCGTACAGGACGCGCCAATTC